AAAAATATATCTTAACTAAGGATAGTTTAAGAATATTGTTAAATGTTGAATATTGAATAAGATTATGATGAATATTGGATACTGAATGATGAACGTTGAAAAATGAATAATTACATGCATGATATCAAATGTTTCAATTATGAATTGAAATTCAACTTATGTGGATGTTCGACGCTTTAGATATGCTTACTAAGCTTCACCGCTGAGCGTGTAGTGTGTTTTATTTGCTACACGCAGGTAGACAAAATGATTGATTTTCTACCATCTTAGGTTTCCCTGCTTTCTTTCCAGTAACCAGCTTAAATTCCTCTTCAAGACCAGTCTTCACTCGTTCTTCCTTTTTGCTTTCCATTTCAGGTTCTGGTTCCTTTTCTATTTTAGGTGCTAGTTCCTTTTCTATTTCACCCTGTTTGGGTTTCCATATCAACTTCCTTCTTACTTCATGAGGTTTGTCTCCCTGTTTGTGTTTCCATACCAACGTCCATATAATCTTGCATGATTCCTGCACATGGCCCAATTTCCCACACTGGGAACACATACAAGGGTATCATTCATACATAATCTGTTGGCTCCTCACTCTCTCTCTTCATCATCTATAAAGTTGACCATCATAGGGAACTCCTGTTGGACTTTAACTTCCACCGGTATCCTCGCAAAAGCATATTTAGTCTTGTTGGCAGTAGGACAGTCTCGTTTGATTGGTTTTCCCACCAGGCTTCCAATCTTGCTAAGACTAGTCAGGCTCCAGTATTTCATGTCTAAGTCAGGCAACTGTATCCAAATGGGTATATTATTCTGTTGATCCAGGTTAACCTTCACGCCTGGGTACCATTTTTGAACTAGAACCGGCTTGTTGTCAAAGTAATAGTACTTCTTAAAATTTCATCTCTATCCTCAACTTTTTTGAACGATACAATAAATTGACCTTCTCTGAGCAATGATATTTCTTCAATAGGGTAGGTGCTCCAGATCCTGTTAATAAAACCTTTCACAACCTCGAATGGAGGATTTGCTCCCAATATACATCAAACTAATGTAGCCTCCCAATATGAGATAGTATCAATAACATCTTCCTTCGTAAGTTTAGCCACAAAATTACCATTTACCTTTGTAGCTGGGATGTAGTGTAGTTTCTGATCTTCCTCTTGATTTCCTACAACACTCGCATAGGATTTCTGAATCGGGGTCTCATCATTGTCCGGAATTTCAACATTTTCCAAGCTAGGGTATGTCCTTTTTCACATATACATAAATCTCTGGTATCTATTTGCCTTCATTCGATTTATTATGTGTCGACACACTCCCTTGTGTTGATCCAGGTGTTTAAACATTGTTCCCACTGCTTCTCGTATTTTTCTTCCTCGGACGTCCCCTTCTCCTCACCATAGCTAGAGAGAGAAAGGTTTGTTCAATCTTAATGTGTTTAAAGTAATATTTTGTAATACTAAAATATAATATTTATTTAATGTTATACAATAAAATGTCTTAAAATATCTTTTTTTAAATAATTAAATGGACCAATGAAATCCATTCATATTATTAATGAATGCACATGTGGATGCACATGTCAACACTCCAAGAAATAAACCCTACTTTATATATATATATATATATATATATATATATATATATATATATATATATATATATATATATATGTATGTATGTATGTATGTATGTATGTA